TGGCAACTCGATAGAGTAGTTTTACATATTTTATACACAAAATTCACCATTGATTTTTAGGGAATTTTTACATTAGAAATTGTTTTTTCTCCTTTTAGTGAAAACTGTTATTTTAGTTGTTGGATTAGTTTTTTAAGATGTTATTTGTGAGTGTACATGTTAAAAATTTATATTACTCGATGCAAAAATATTCCAATCAGTAATCTAAATTAAACCATTAAGAAGTTAATTTAACACGAGTTTTTTTGTAGACCTGACCTATCGGTATTATTAATTTTTTACGGTTAAATTAGATCAAAATCATATTATAATAAAAAAATATACAAAATAAATAATTTATAATATAAATTTTACGACAAAAATTATATGTAGTTTATTTTTTGTAAACCTACTAGAAAACTTCCCTAATTTAATAGCTAAAACAAAAGAAAAAGGACAGGAATTGTAAAAAAAAAAAAAATCCTTATTTTTATTTCAGTATTGGAAGTGTTTTGGTACGAAAAGTACAATAGTTAAATGTACCTTGACCGTTATTCTAGGGCAATGTTCCTTCTTGAAACACCCTTTTCCCAAAACACCCTTGCTGCTATTTTGGAATGTAGCAACTGTGGATCGAAATGTATGGATAGTTCGGGAAAGATGGATAGATACGAAGAATAATTTGTAGGAAATAGATAAGATATGTAACGAGGAGAAAGGGAGAATTATATATTTTTCTTCCAAAAATAATAGCTGGTCACAGTAAGTTTTTATTGGGTGCTGCAACAATTGATCAGATGCATTTTATGAGCTTTAGGGTACCAACAAAAAGTTTTTAAAAATGTTAAAATACTGTTGTAATATTATCAAAAATACAGAATATTAAAAGTATATTTTATTATAACATGGAGTATTAAAATGATTTTATCCCTCTAAATTTTTTTATTTTAAAGCTGGTGTCTTAACAATAGACTATGCATCGTTTGATTCTTAGTGGTCTGAGTAACACTGAGTTAAATTTTTTTTAATAGAATTGGATAACTTTTTTTCCGTTCTGTTAGTGTATCTTTGGATTTAGCTATAAACAAAGACAGTGGACTGAAAGTAATAATATATATATATATATTACAAGCAAGAAAGGTGTAATATACATTCCATATTGACCTGTCATCTATTCTCAGATTAATGGAGCATACAAGTTGGAGTTCATTTTCTTCAACAAAAAAATAATATAAAGAAAAGAAGATGACATACTATAGTTTCCAAAACAAATCCTCATGGTAGAACTTCCAAGTTTGCGTACCTATTTAATTAAAAAGACGTTTGGTTCATGGATTAGAATCATGAGATTAAAATTATTTTCAATTTACGTGTATTTTTTATGAGAAAAAATACTGTAGCGAATCACGAATCATTATTTGAATCGGGGTACGAATCTCCCAACCAAACAACTCCTAAGTTATGCTTTTAGCCAAACTTTGCAACTCTTGACAAACATATATAACAAGCCGAGAAAGATCAGTACATATATATAACAGCTAAAAATATATTAAAGTAGAAGTTTAGAAAATATGATTTCTTTACATATAATATATATACACATACATACACACACACACTTGCAAATTACGTTAGAGCCAGACTAAGGCACCATTTGAGATTTTAATTTTAATCTAGCAATTTAACTCTTTCTTCCTTTCTTTCTTCAAAGGAAAGTCTAAAATTTTCCTGGTTGAGCAACATTGACCAGCCAAAATGCTAACTTATTATATACATATGTACGTTACAAGTACAGTTTAGACAAAAAGACATACTGAACTGTTTTTCAACTGCTCATCCATCTCTTTATACTCTCACTGGCACACAAAAAATAAATGAAGAAATAATAAGAAAACTCAAGAAAGAAAGAGAAATGAAACAAAAGAAGAACAATCACACGACAAGAATAGAAATAAAGGTCCAAACCTGTCTAATGACATTGTTGACTTTTACATTCCACTCCCACCAGATGATCCAACCCCCGAAGTATTGCAGAGAGATCCATTTTCCTCATCAAGTTTTTTGGCCTGATATGTATATATATATATATATATAATCTATATATATACATATATATAATATATATACACGAGATTTTTACAGTAAAACTTGAAAAAATAAACCATTGATAAATATCAAATTTGTATTAGAAACTATCTTATGTACATATTTTTTTTCGTTTTGATGTAATTATTTGGACAAAATTCAACTGTTAAAACTTGCACTCCCAATAAGAATCTGTACCTATATATATATATATAACCGATATATATGTTTTATAATTAACTAGTGGGAGACTGCAATTCAAAGTACATCCATAAATTCCCTGAAATGCATTCCCACCACAACACAACAAGATTTCTCCACTGAGCAACACCTGCTGAATTGAGTGGTTGAAACCATATGTCAATCTTCTCCATGTTTGTAATAGAGATGACAAAAATTGACCCCAAATGCACCATTATGCTTAGTATTTAGCCCTCCAAGCAGACCACCATTTCTTAGGGACAAGCTATCATATTCTTCATGCTCTATTTCTAGTGCAGAGACTGAATTTTGGATTTCAGAATATTTATGAATAATTGAGTTGCACCACTTGGGTTTTGGTTCCTGGACATTGTGCTGTCTAGGATCACACCTATAGAGCATATATAGGTGAACAAAATGCACCATCACCTAGTGCTTGTGTTACACTGTTCTAGTGTTCTATTTTATTTTTTTCTTAATGAGATTACAATCAAATTTTATTAAGTAACCTTTTTAAATACCTATGATCGTTCTAGTATATACTCGGTATGAGATTTAGGTCATTCAAATACTAGTAATAAGAGATGAAATATTCTCCCACACGAGGAATTTATAAAATATATTGTGAGTGTTCTTTGTTGACGGTGAAAATTCACCTAACAATATGAACTCAACTGTCGACTTGAGATCAGTTCAGTGGTTGTACACCATTTTCCGTATAGAACCAAGTTTCTAATTACACTCACCTTGCTCAGTTCAGTGGTCGTACACCATTTTCCTAATGGAACCAAGTTTTTAATTTCACTCTCACAACATTTGTCTTGCTCAACCAAATAAAGTGCAAAATGATCAAAGTAAGTGGAAAAGAGAAGCTACTCGACGCTGCTAATAAATATGTACAAATAGTTTGGACCACTACAAAAGAGGCACCACGTAGAGTTTAATTACTTTTTGTGCAAATGTTGTTTTTCTAATGTCTATATCCAGTTCATAGAATGAATAAAATAAGGATGTTTTAACTTGATACATCCGTTGAAGTTGGCATCTGAGACACATAATTTACACATAGGAAGAATATGATGTCTGGTGGACTTAAGCCTTTTTTTTTCTCAAAAAGAATTGACAATTGACAAAGCTTCCATTATTTTCCTTTGATGGTTCCTTTCTATTTCGAATACGCAACCTTGTAAATTTTTTTACCTTCTTTGTTTTTTTTAATATTTTGTAATGATTCTCTTGGTGTAAATTTGTGCACATGGTAAGCAAATTGCCCTTTAATTTGTTAAAGAATCATACAAACCACACCTTTTAATATTAATAAAAAGTTCTCTTAGCTCTTCCAAAACAGATAAGGCTTCATGGCTGATTGGCCATTCTTCCATCTCTAGAGTGAGGATTTTACAGTAGTTTACTCAAGCTTCTCCTCTATGGGCAAATCACAATTTCAGGCCTTCACACGTGGCAAAGTAGTGAAATGTGATTGGTGGCTAGAAAGACTCCCAAGTGATGGTAATAATCCAAAACTCCAAATAATGAAGGTCAAGTACTGTAGAATCCTTTTATGTGATGAAGGGTCTAATTGGAAGTGGTTGATGAGTCATTAACTCCTTAAACAAATGTTTTAGGTCTATTTAGAAGAAAGGTTGTGCCTTTATGATGAACCTTTTGTTTTTGTTTTTTTTTCCTTCCAACTTTCAATTTGGTTACGTCACAAGGCCTTATTGGCCAGGGAGCATCCAAGTGAAAATTAAAAAGTAAAACTCCATTTCAAGATGGACTTGACAATGGCACACCAAAATTTTTAAGATTGACTTGTTGGCATTTTCTTCCACTCTTTTCTTTCTAATCAAAACAACCCTCATTAAAATAATTATACTCCCCACAATATGAACTCTCTCTCTCTCACTCCCTCCTTCTCTGTGATGTAAGCAGAAGTTTTTGTGCTGAAAAATGATTACCCACAACCGCAACTTGTACTTGTCTATGCATATTAGAAAATGATAGCATGCGTGCATGCTCACATTATATGGAGATCCCATGATCAAGCAGATCATGAATAGAAGAAAAGGCACCAATTGATTCACATGTATATGTTGAGCAACATCGTTACACCTCCTTCACAAGCACCGCATGATCAATATAGCTCCTATATAAGTTGCCTACTATTGTCTAATTTTTATTGACGTTAAGACGCTTAACTTTTGAGGTTATTTTTTTATTTAGTGAGAGTATGATATATAAGGTTCAAGCCTCCATTTCGTTTTTTAGTGTCAATTCAGTGACGTACCACATTGATATTACTATGCTTTTCCTTTTCAAGAATAATAAAAAATACGTATAAAAGTATATTCCACATTTTACACTAGGTAAATCAAGGCTAAACGAGTGCCGGTATTATTTTTAGCCAGATCGGGCTATTTAACTTTTTTTTTTTTTTTTTTTTTTTTCATATATGATGCCACAGGAAAACGGAAACATGATCTGATACAAGATATTCCAATGCTCTGAAAGCTCAAGGCACTTAACCATAAACTCCACTGTTGCACAAAAAATTGCCTAATAGTGGGGCCAAATCAAACTTTTCCCCTCCTATAAAAAACCTCAGTTCCCTCAAGCGTCTCTCCCGTTCCAAAACCAAAACATAATCCACACCAAAAAACCAAAACGCCAATACAAACAAGAGAAAAACAAAAGCCCTTTTACTAAAAAGAGGTTCAAACTTCGAAAAACCAACCATGCAACAACCTAGCGATGTTTCTGCAGGGCTCCATTTTCTTGTCCCTCCAAACCCGATATCTCCTTTCCAAGACCATTACTACAACATGAACAATCTCCAAAACAACATCAATACTAGTCCAAACTTTCAGTTCAACAACAGATTGATCTCCAGTACCCCATTGTACAACTTCCAATTCCCAATATCTCAACAAGTCCAAGACATGAACAGTAATAATAATAATAATCATCATCAACAGCCTTCATGCTTCAGCAGTAACTCAACCTCGGATGAAGCTGATGAGCACCAACTGAGTCTCATCAATGAGAGGAAGCAGAGGCGGATGATATCGAACCGAGAGTCTGCGCGGAGATCGCGCATGCGCAAGCAGAAGCACCTCGACGAGCTGTGGTCTCAGGTGGTGTGGCTGCGCAATGAGAACCACCAGCTCATAGACAAGCTGAACCATGTCTCCGAGAGCCATGAAAAGGTTGTCCAAGAGAATGCTCAGCTCAAAGAGGAAGCCTCCGAGCTCCGGCAAATGCTCTCCGATATCCAGCTCAACAGCCCTTTCCCTAGCTTGAGAGACTTGGAGGATCACGTGCCTTGCAACACAGCCTATCTCAGAGCTGAGTCCTCAACCCAGTCCATCACAACTTCCATGGATTTGCTTGGTTAAATTTATAAAGATTGAGAGAGGCAAAAGTTATCCTTTTTTTTTTCCTTTTTTTTTCTTTTTTGGCTACTTTCCCATTTCCCAGGTTTGACTCTCTCCTTGGCTAAAGTTGTATGAGATGCCAAGTTATATATTGGCAATAACATATATTGTGAGCAATTTTTGTCTGAATGTTTTTGCTCACATACTATGCTATGTCATCTCTTTAGTCTATATATCATGTTCAAACATGTTTCTGTTAGTCTTAATTCTCCTCTATCACTTGAACATAAGTTAGCTATGAGCCGTTTGTTTCGCCCGTTTGAACACAATTCAAACCTTTTTGCTAGTGTTTTCTCTATAAAAAAAAAAAAAAGAGTTAAATTTCGTTCAAACTTTATGTTGAAATCTATAAACTAAAAGGATTAAAAGCAATTATTTAGATAGCGTCAATTGTTCCTCCATGTGGAAAAATTAGTGCCATAGGTTCAAAATAAGTAGTTAGTAAACGGGAAAACGTTTGATCATGGAGAAAGCACCAGAACAAGATATAATCGAAAAGAGATATTTAAGCAAGAATGTTAAAAGAAGTAACTATTATATCAGGTGTACTAGAAAAGAATAAGAAAATGAGTGGCAATGGGTGGAGAAGAGTTGGACATGACGCAGAAATAAAAAGTGGTGGTGGAGTGGGTGATACAGGTTCTTGAGCCAAAACTACCATAAAAAGAATAACAATAAATAGATATAAATAAATAAATAAAGAATTTGGGAAAGTTATCCACTAAAATCCCAAGTAGTATTGTTCTTGGCTTTTGAGAGCTGCCTTGACTGAAAATAATTGGACAACCTTATGAGTCTATTTTGTTTTGTTCCAACGCACTTATATATATTACGTTACTTTTGTGACTTATCTAGGCCAATATTTTTAGTGTATATACATATATGGTAAGGAAATTTTCTTGAGAAAAATCCATCAGAAAAAAGACTAATTAAGCCTGTTATTATATGATTATTGTAAGAGGTGTGGAGGTTTGCGCCTCATACATGCATGGATGCTGTTACAACTAACAATATTTCTCCTTCTTTGTATGTTAGGATATAATGCTTTTTTTTTTTTTTTTGCTTAAAAAAAAACATAAAAGTTACTGTTTCTTTCCCAAGAGAATCGCAAAAGGACAAGAAACACTTGAGCATTATGTGGCCACTTCAGTTGAGCACACATGCACCTTGAAAACATGGCCAAAAACACCCTTTGTTAATTATGAACTTCCATTTATTAATTAGGTTCTATGTATGATTCTTTGTTTTGAGTTCCAATTAATTTTGCCACTTGAAACTAGCTCTTGTGGTTGGATGTGTAAGTGTGTGATTTATGATTCGAATTCTAATAGTTTCGGTTTTTCTTAATATATTAGGAGTCATAAGGCCTGCACCATATTAAAAAAAAAAAAAAAAAAAAAAAAAACAAACAAACTTCTATTTGAATTTCACCATAGAAGAAGATCTTTTGCTTTAAAGGCGGAATAAAATAATAAAACAAGAAACAGAAACATTTTTAGCTGCCTAATGGGAACGCTATAATTTCTAAACACCTTGGTCTGATTTTGGCAAGTCATGTAACAGCCCCTAATGATCATGCGCCTGATAAAACATATGCTGATCATATTTTATGCAATGAGTTAAAATTCACTACCCCATTTTTTTTTCCACATAAACAGATCATGCTACTGAATTCTAAGGCCTGTTTAGATTTGAGTTTTTAATTCGAGTTGAGATGTAATTTTATTTGAGTGATTTTTACTGTAATAAAAAAAGTTAGATGTGATTTTTTGTGAAAGTTTTTAACTGTAGTAAAACTGGAATTGAAAATTTAAATTGGTGAAATGAGCAATGCTTATAATTAGTAGATCTCACCAATTTTATCCACTAAACTTATAGTCATCAAAGATATAAACGGAAAACGGTACCAAAGATAGCCCTCAAAGCTCTTTTTCAGAATTCACAGACAACAGATTTTGTTAATATCATCGTCTGAGTATCTATGAAACTTAGACAAGGTCATATGTATACCAAGTTTTTTTTTTTTCTTTGACACAGGGATCGAACCCGCAACCTCCTTCAAACTCCATTCCACCCAAACGCCACAAGTGGTCTTAGGCATATATACCAAGTTTTTTATGGTATAGTTGATCGGTTTTTTTATTTTATTTTTTATTTTTTTATTATAGAGTATTGATAATGATGTTATAGCGTTATGTTTTTTGCATCAATGAAAAAGTCCAATATCCAACTTAAATTATTGATTCTGAGTCCTTTCCTTTTCCAGAGAAGTTCACGACAACCACAAATCAAAGGGGGTGGTGGTTGTCTGCGGCGGAGAGGTTAAAGGGGGAGTCGAAACGCCGCCGTTCAAGTTCTAACACTGACTGCTAATTACGGATGCACCAAATATTGAGCGACAAGCTAGTACCAATAGTACTAGATAAGTGAGAATCTAGCACACCGAGAAGAAATAACGGTTAGACAGAAAACGACATCATAGAAGAAAACGGCGGTTAAAAAAATCAAACAACAAGATATGGAAACAAAACAACAAAAACCTGAAAACGACAATAAAATGGAAACGACACCTGAAAACGACGACACAAACGAAACAGCAACAAAAACATGAGAAATGGGTCGGGGTGTTTGATAGTAGTATGACCACGTTCATTTCACTGATTTAAGTTTAAAATTTGAGTTTTGTTGTAGTAAAAAGTTTTTAAAAGTATTCATATTTAACTTTTTTACTATAGTAAAAAATTATCACATAAAGTCACATCTCAACTCGAATTAAAAACTCAAATCAGCAAACTAAATGGGCATATGATTTTCACGCTCTCTATGAGGTGCTTTGGAAATGGTTTGTAAATAGTGTTTGGCTCCATTTTCACTGTAAACAGAAATGGAAAAGGAAATTATTTTCATATTTTGTTAAAAAAAAATAGAGAGTGCTTTATAGTGATTTTCCCTTTTTCCTTTCATTGTTTAAGATTTATATACGCAACATATACTTTCATAAATAAAACATAATTTCACTTTTTCCATGTTCAAAATAATCTCTCTAAAAAAACAATCAAAACACAGTTTAAAAAGATTCCCACTACTATTTCCAAAAAATCTCATTTTCATTTTCATAATCAAAATACAATTATTTTGGAATTGCATTTGGTTGGTGGATTTGTACCATGATTCGTGATTTACTACAGTATTTTTTCTCAAAAAAATATACGTAAATCGAGAATAATTCTGACTCAATCAACCAAAATAAATAACAATGAGTGAGAAATGATTAAAAGGAAGAAATGAAAGAAATAAAGAAAGAGGCAAAACATGAAAAACGACAACAGATGATGATCAATAAAAAGATAGTATAAAAAAGAGAAGACAAACATGGGAAAAAACAATAAATAAAATGAAAACAGCGAAAGGGAGATAATGGGGAAAAAGATGAGAAAAGACAAAAAAAGGAGTGACAATTGACAAATTATAAGAAACGACGATCAATTAGAAGACAGTGACAAGAAGGAAATATCGACAGAAATAAGACTAACATCCGTAAAAACAAAAACGACATAAATTGAGAAAACTACCAGAATATTTTTTTTTTTTGAAGTAAAAAACGACAATAATATGAGAACAGCGAAAAATAACAAAAAAATAATGAAGTCATAACGACGTAAAAATCGATAAACGAGAAGACTTGAGAAGGTCCCAAAGACAGAGGTAGTAAACATGTTTCCACTCGTTCTCTTTTTTTCATGTCTCTATCATATACAGCTAAGTTTTTTATTCATTTTATTTTATTTTGTTTTAGAAGATATTATATACAACAAAGTTAAGAGTCGTTATAACAAAACCAAAAAGAAAGTCAGTCGCAAATTTGCAATTATCCATCTTTTAGAGTCCCAATCATACATAAAAGTGGATTCCCTAACAAGTGTTAATATAATCACAACCAAGTTATATGCTACTATAATTGTATGTTTGGTATATGGGTTTTTTTTGTAAACTCGTAATTTTAATTATGTTATATTATTTTTTTAATAAAAAATTTAAATTTTAAAAGTTATAATAAAGAATTCGGACTTAAACTCATATCCTAAACGGTCTCTATTTTCTTCTTTTAGTTTTTGAATTGGAGGTGGAGATTTAAACTATATATTGTGGTGGAATCAGTTAAATGAGGCATACAAACATTTTTTTTTTCTTTTATTTTGATTAAAACGTTTATTATTTTTCTTTGGGTAATATTAACAAATATCCCTTAAAAGTGCACGGGTCAAGATTTTTATCTTTTATTCTTGATTTATAACATTTTTAGTTAAATAATTACACTAATAAAAGAGTACTTATCAAAAATAAGGAGTAAAAATTTAGACTCATACACTCTTACAGGTAAATTCTCTATTTTTTCTTTTTCTCTTAAGAATAAGTAAGAAGTCAAAATCTCTGTCAGCAGTTTTGTAGCAAGTAGGAACTTCAATGTTATTCCCAAGGGTAAAAGCTAGAAGGGCACAAAAATTTCATAATTATTTTCAAATATATATCTAATCTAACAATACATAAAAGAGTTAAAGTTCTTCTTTATGGGTTGTCACGTGGCAGTTCATCCACTTAGTGTTTTTTATCCTTTTTTATGATTTATCATTATTTTTTGGGATTTTTTTTTTACATTTTAATTTTTTTGTTTTTTGTTTTTTAAATATGTTGTTCCTCACTTCACTCCTATGAGAGTAATTTTTCGCACGTGTTCTTATTTTATTTTTAATTAGTTAAAATATTTTTTTTCAAGTGTGTCTCTACTTAATTTTTTTTGTCAATTGTTATCTTTACATACATTCCTTTTTAAAATAAATTAAAAATTTCTTAAATAATTGTATCAATAAATTTCTCATTATTCGGTAATATAATAAACTTTTCAAGTGTCTTCACCATGGCAATAGGTGCGCAGCACATTACAAAAATACTATATATATATATATTCCACAATTCGGTATGGTAACCAATAAAAAAAATACATTTTTTAGTAGTGTCTACAAAATGTCTTAATAGTAATGTGATCTTTTGAATTGTAAAATGGTAATTATAGTTGTACACGACTAAAAATATAAGTGCAAAATTAATAATTATAAAATGCATAATAGGTGTTTTAATTAAAAATGTAAGGTAGCAGTACAAATATTCAAATATAAAAGTTATGATATCACATTAAGTTTGTATTATAATTAATCAGTAATGATAAATTATAATAAAACAACACTCTATGAACTACATTGGAAAAAGCTAACAAAAATATAATTTATAGCTAAACAAAAAGGAGGAATTATTCAGTACACTAAGTGTACCACATCATATTATTTATGTAATACACTCGTCCAATGAGATTATACCATTTGGACATTTTATCTATGTCAGCTTTTCACTTTTATTTTTCTCTTTCTTAATAGGTATTTGTATTGATTATTGAGTCAAAAACACTAATTATTTTACTCAATTTCTTTATTTTAATGACTTAGCTTTAAATTATTATTTTTATTTATAAATACGATAATCAAATTTCTCTGTTTAACGACTTAACTTTAAATTATTATTTTTATTCGATGTTCTTTACAGACCAAGATCAAGCAACGTCAAATGCCTAGTGTACTGCCAACTACAAGGCATCGCCTATGTCAATGGCACATTGGAAGAAATGCTCCATTACATTTGGGGGAGTTAAATGCAATCTCAGAGTTTAGATATTTGTTTCACAAGTGCCTGAAAGATTGTGATACATAAATGGAATTTGAATAAACATGGGGGAAAATGATTCAAAAATTTGAACAAACAAAGAAATTTGAGCCCGTTTGGAGTTGGTTTTGTTTTTATTTTTCACGTTTTTTGAGAAATAAAAAATAAAAATGAGAGAGAAACGACGTTTGACACAATTAAAGATAAAAAATGGAAATGAAAATGATTTTTTGATTTAGTGTAAAATGTGAGAGAAATGAAAAACGAATTTTAATTCTTTTTCATTTTTTATTTATGTTTTTTCCTCTCTCGAGCACAGAGAGAGAGAGACGTTAATAAATTTTTTATATTGAAAATAATCTCTTGATAAAACTACTAAACGTATTTTTAAAAATAATTTATGTCTGAGATTAAAAATATTTTCATTTATATTTTCATACAAAAAATAAAATCATTTTAGAACGAGTTCTAAACGTACTCTTAATTATTGTATTTTATGAATAAAAATAATAATTTAAAGTTAAGTCATTAAAATAAAAAAATTAAGTAAAATAATAAGTGATTTTGACTTAATAATCAATACAAATACCTATTCAGAAAGAAAAAATAAAAATAAAAAATTTAAATGGTACAATTTTATTAAACATGTGTACGAGGTGTACTGAATAATTCCTTAACAAGAAGATCATCTCACAGGTAAAAGCATAAATGGCCTTTTCCCTCACCCCAAAAAAGAAAAAAAAAAAGAGAGAGAGTAAATGAGGCCTTGGAAAATCTCAACCACATGTTCCATAACTAACTCTATCCAATACCAGCCCCAATTCATATGGAATGTCAAATTGTAATTTGTAAGTGGGACCAGCCAGATCAATTGAGGAAAAGGACCAAACCAATAATTCATCATAAGTAAACCTCCAAGCATTTGGTACTTTACAGCAAACCGTAGAGACACATGGTCCTTCCCATTTACCAAAAATCTCCCCTTTACTCGACTAATAAATGAGCTCACATATTTTATTTTTTCAAAAAAATACTGAAACTGTAGTTTATTCTTTTATGATGGTGTTGGTCTAATCTGATCCCTTTTCTTTATGGACTTTTTCTGTGCGTTAAGTTATTAATAGGTTAGATTTTTTATTGGTCGAATATATATAAAATTACATAAAAATTAAAAATTATTAAAAAAATATAATATATTAATACGTTAAACGTATTAGAGAATTTTTTTATTTTTTATCCTATACAATATTATGAATGATAGTGTTTTGAGTTTTTGTTGTTGTCGTCGTTGTCTCCATGGACTAGTTTTACCTATTTATTATGGTGGTTTATTAAAAGAGTTTTTGTCACGTTCAATTATTAATGTATTTAATAGATTTTTTTATTTCAACACTTATATATGTCTGTGGGCCTCATTCTCTAAAAGTATAAGGGATCTCACAAATGCTCTATATATTTCACTTTCAATTAGTCTATGAGATTTTACTTTATTTTAATTTCAGTCTTTTGTCAGTTAAGTCTTAAATATTTAATTAAATTTGTTGAAATGAGAAATAAAAATTGAATACAATCTAAAGTTTAGAGACTAAAATATTACAAAAAATAAAAGTTAATTTATGCATTTAGTTTTAAAATTTTAAGCCTCGTTCAACTCGCCGATTCGAGTTTTTAATTTGAGTTGAGATGTGACTTTATGTGAGAGCTTTTAACTGTAACAAAAAAGTTAAATGTGACTGTTTCTGTAAGCTTTTAATTATAATAAAATTAAAATTACAAATTTAAATTAATAAAATGAACGAGGCCTTAATTATTTCTAAGTTTAATCCTTAATTTATACAAATGCCATCAAATTTTTTAACACTTAATTAAAATAAAGAATCGAAACTAGAGCAAAATAAAAATTTTAAAAAAGTTTAAAGGCCAAAAGGGATAGAGTACAAATTTCAGGAACGATTTTTGAAATTAATCCAAAATATAAATTATAGAACACCGACGCGGCATTCACGTAATAAATAAACACATCTCAGATCTAAAGGCACTTTCCTGTCTTGTTGTTCTTGTGCTTTACTGATACTCGTTCAAGAGAAAAAATCTCTGCTTCACAGAGATCGAGACTTTTTCCTCGCCATTTTCTGAGATTATTATTGGAATCCGAGTTTTCCAGATATCGCTCGCTGAGCTCCAATGGCGGTCGCCGTCCGAGGAAGCCGCGGCGGGGGAGGAGGTTTTGGTCTCGTCAGTTCCAGTCTCCGGAGCTTCTTCTCGTACCGGATCTTCGTCTCCGCGATGTTCTCTCTCCTCTTCATCGCCACTCTCTCGGTCCTCCTCTCCACAAATCCCTACACTCCACACCATGACTCTGTAAGTTATTATCCTCTCTGTTCTTTGATTGTTTTTTCGTTTTCTTTTCGGAATCGAGTGAAACCTAGGTTAAGAAATCCGAGAAATTGATCGCTTGATCTAAACTTGTGCGAGATTTTTGGCATTAGAAGTGAAATAATTTGAAGAAAAACTCCATCAACAATTGAATGCGATTTTGTTCGCAGGCTCTTCCGACCACTGGAAATGCGTATGTGCACCGAACATTTCTGGCTTTGAAATCTGACCCGCTAAAAACCAGATTAGATTTGATATATAAGCAAGCGAATGATCATATGACGTTGGTGAATTCTTACGCGGCCTATGCTAGGAAGCTTAAGCTTGAGATATCTAAGCAATTGAGGATGTTCAATGATTTGGCTTCGGAAATCTCGGATCTTCAAATGAAACCAGGTTACCGGACGTCGTTGTTCGAGTCGGACGGTCCAGTTGATGAGGACGTGTTGAGGCAGTTTGAGAAGGAGGTGAAGGATAAGGTGAAAACTGCGCGGGCAATGGTTGCAGAGTCAAAAGAGAATTATGATAATCAGCTAAAGATTCAAAAGTTGAAGGATACTATTTTCGCAGTTAATGAGTTGCTGACAAAGGCGAAAAAGAATGGTGCGTTTGCAAGCTTGATTGCTGCGAAATCAGCACCGAAAAGTTTGCATTGTCTGGCCATGAGGCTTGTAGGGGAAATGATTTCGAACCCGGAGAAGTATAGGGATGAGGGCCCGAAGCCTGAATTTGAGGACCCGAGTTTATATCATTATGCAATTTTCTCAGATAATGTGATTGCCGTATCGGTGGTAGTGAGATCTGTGGTGAAGAATGCAAATGAACCTTGGAAACATGTTTTCCATGTGGTTACAGATAGGATGAATCTTGCAGCAATGAAAGTCTGGTTTAAGATGCGGCCTGCGGATGGTGGTGCCCACGTGGAGGTGAAGGCAGTGGAGGATTTTTCTTTTTTGAACTCTTCTTATGTGCCGGTTTTAAGGCAACTTGAATCAGCGAATCTGCAGAAGTTTTACTTTGAGAGTCGGGAGGAGAATGCGACCAAGGATGCAAGCAACATGAAGTTTAGGAACCCCAAGTACTTGTCAATGTTGAATCACCTGCGATTTTATTTGCCAGAGATCTATCCAAAGTTGCACAAGATTTTGTTCTTGGATGATGATGTTGTTGTTCAGAAAGACTTGACTGGTTTGTGGAAGATTGATTTGGATGGTAAGGTGAACGGGGCTGTTGAAACGTGCTTTGGATCCTTTCATCGATATGCCCAGTATTTGAATTTCTCACACCCTCTGATAAAGGAGAAATTTAATCCTAAGGCTTGTGCTTGGGCTTATGGGATGAACATATTTGATCTTGATGCTTGGAGGCGTGAGAAATCCACAGAGCAATACCATTACTGGCAGAACTTGGTAAGTGTACATTTTCTTTTAAAGTTAGATATTTTACTACGTTTTGTTGAAAATATTTGCACTTACAAAAGCTTTAGACTTTCAAATTGCTAAACAAAAGACACATTGGTTGAACATTACCCTATTGCTAGTATGTGTATCAGAAGCATCCGGATGGTTGAGTCTTGACCTATTGATTATGATCGTATACTTTTGATGATTAGTTTGTTAACTTTCTTATTCTGTGAATTTGTGATCAGAATGAAGATCGGACATTATGGAAGCTGGGTACTCTTCCTCCGGGTCTGATCACCTTCTACTCGACAACAAAGTCTTTGGACAAATCGTGGCATGTGCTTGGACTTGGGTACAATCCAAGTATTAGCATGGATGCAATCAATCGAGCTTCAGTCATTCATTATAATGGAAATATGAAACCTTGGCTCGACATTGCTATGAACCAATATAAGAATCTTTGGACCAAGTACGTGGACAATGATATGGAATTTGTGCAGATGTGCAATTTTGGCTTATAGACAACTACCTTTCCTGCTCTGAATTACTCAGGTGACATAAAATACGAGTTTCCAGCAACTATGCATGATGAGACTCATTCTCATTCTCACACGTTTTGGATCATTTACTAGTTGTAACACTCAGAGCGAAGCTCGGTGATTCTTTGTTTTTGGTGGAAAATGGTGGTCTCATGATTCTTTCTTTTAATGTTCTATCAGCTGTTGAGGTCAGTTATGGTTTGTAAACAACGAGTTCGGGTAATGTACACGTGGCAATCAATTTTTGGTTAAGATATTTACAGTATTGTAAGATACTTACATTTTGCAGTCTGTCATGGCTGATTCTATGTTTCTATCCAATCAGTGTATTTTCATATTTTCTTTTCCTTTCATATTTTCTTTTCCTTGCTTGGTTTCTGTTTCATTTGATGGATACTATAAATCAGTTCCTGATTCATTCCTTGTGTCAATGTTGAGAGTTTAATAAGATAAGAAATATGATAAACTTTTTGATGAGTTTGTACAAATTAAGTGTAGATAGTAACAGGTTCAAATTGTTGCATGGCCGCAAGGATTTGCCGCATCCAACTACATCTTGTTTTATCAAATTCTTTTGGTGATTTGTGAAGGGGTAGAAACTAGTGTCATTTTGGCAAGCGCTATGGTTTTGTCGTTTTGATGACAGATGACTTGTGGATCCAGAGCTGCAGCCTGCAAGTTTCGGCCCGGCTTGCATAATGACTCGGGCTGGGCTGGCCCGAGGATCTAGACCCCGAATGTCTATTTGGGTTGGGTTGATTAGCATTTTTTTTTTTTTTTTTTTTTTTTTTTTTTGAGATTGAACAATTTGAAGCAAATAATAGTTAATAGAAAATTTCTAGTGAAATGATGTAATTAGATAATTTACAAGATATGTCTGTTATCTCTTCAAACATTTTAAAAAAATGTTATTTATTACAATTTTCGGTGTTTTTTTTTAATGTCTTGTGAAGTTTTCAAACTGACATAAATGCTGATCTTGAGAATCTTATTTGAACAAATGCCTACTTTCTCATTTATTTACAAAACCATTGGCAATCACATATATAAAGACATTTTTAACCTTGTATAATGAAAAAAATGAAAGAAATAATTAAACCATAAAAAAATGTATGAAAAGTGAGACAAAATCTGAACATTAAACATTATAAATTTTTAATATAGAAAATTCAACTATGGTCAAAACTACAACAATTGCATCTAATGAAATTGTTTAATGAGAAGTCAACTCTTTTATTTAAACAAAAAAAGAAAAAAAAAACAAAAGAATAAACTATGTGCACATTAAAAACACAAAAAAGGCAGCCCAAAAAACTCTACAACCACGATAAAAAAAAGGGATAAAAAAACCCAAAACTAAAATCGACTCCGGCAGCCATTAAAACACCAAAACTCATGAAAATATGTACAAAAATAATAAGTATTTTCACTAAAATAATGATCATACCATAATGAAAAGGGGAAGCGAAGCAAAAAGTAATATTATTTACAGAAAATCATAAAAAAATCACAATAAAGAAGAAAAATGATCAGACCATAATGCCAAAAAATATATACAGAAAGAATAAGTTTTTTTTTACTAAAATAACAATTAGATCATAATAAAAATGAAAAGTAAAATAATAGTAATATCATTTGCAGAAAATTATAAAAAAAATTACAAGAAAGAAGATATATCATCAGACTATAATAAAAGAAAAAATTTGTAAAAAAAAGAAACATAAAATCTCACAAAAAAAATATGAACATAAAGAAAATATTTTTTTTTTCCAAAATAATGATCCGACCATAATAAAAGAAGAATTCCAAAAAAAAAAAAAGAAACATAAAACCTCACACGTAATATGAATAGAAAGAAAAAATATATATTTTTTCTAAAATAATGATCAGATCATAATGAAAGAAAATTGTAAAACAATAGATAATATCATTTAACATTACAATAAAGAAAAAACATGATAAGACCATAATGAATAATAGATAATTTCATTATTTAAATTGGATATGAAACATTAGAATATATCATATGCAAAGAATCATTATTTAAACGATGAAAGCATCATGAAAGAATAACTTTAGCAACAATAATGAAAGAAAAATAATAACACAAGCAAAAGCAACAACAAAAGAACAATTTCAAAGACAAATACATTAATAACACAAGCAAATAAAACGAAAAGCAACAACAGTAACGTAAACAAAAGCAAATAAAACAAAAAGGAATATGAGTAAAAGCATTAAAACAATAACAAAGACAAACAAATACGTACGCGCAAGGGGTAAAAAAAAAAAAAAGAAAAAAAAAAGAGAAGATCATCATTGAAATAAACACAAAACAATGCACCTACTAGCCAATGATCAACGACGAAATCCAAGGAGGGTAGCAGGTCAATGAACGCAAATCACGACCAGCAATTTGAACAAAGGCTGCTCTCCCAAACAATGAACGTGAAACACAGACGAAAGAATTCAAAAAATGAAAAAAAAAGGGGAAAAATAATAACCAGAGAATAAAAAAAAAAAAAAAATCAAATCAGTATAAAATCATACTGATTTATTAAAAAGTTCTATTAAAACTTAACAAGGGAAGTAAAAACCTAAATTGTAATCAAGAAAAATAAGTCAATAAATAAATAAAACCTAACCATATAAAAAATATTACTGAAAATACCTAATAAGGACAATACTGAAAAAAACATATCTTATAAAGAGAAAATCATTAGTCTTATAATATTAAATAATAATCGATATTTTTAAAAATATAAATTTAAAATTAGGTATTTTATGTAATTATTTCTTTTCAGACTTATGGTCCAGATTTGCAGCTCTATATAGGGTCCGTTTAGTTTGTTGATTCGAGTTTTTTTATTTTGAGTTAAAATGTGACTTTATGTGAGAGTTTTTATTGTAGCAAAAAAATTAGATGTAATTATTTCTAAGAGTTTTTTATTATAACAAAACTTAAATTCTAAACTCGACACGAATAACCTGCCAATATACAGGTCAAGAATTGCTTCAATACACAACCTATATATTGGCGGGTTGACACGACACTACACAACATGTATATTGGCGGGTTAACACGACACGACACGAATAATCTGTTTATTAAACAGGTCATAAACGTGTCGTGTCAACCCGTTGATTACCTGTCTACCCGTTTATAAAACGAGTGATAAATGGGTCGTGTTAATATATTTCTGAACCTGTTTATAAATAAGGTGATAAATAGGTCGTGTTAACCTATTTCTGAACCTATTTTAAGCATGTTTATAAAATGAGTAATAAACGGGTTGTGTATTCGTGTTACCAAAATATACCACGTTTAATAAACGGGTTATGGCGGATCAATTACGAGTTGACGGGTCAACCTGAAAATGATACATTATTTAATCGTGTTTTACAGATTTAATTTGATTTTAACCCATATATATTTATAATAAACCTAAATCCGTTAATTTTATACAAATTTTGAGTCGCTATTTGAATCGCCAGTCTTATGATATGTATTAAAGTTGAAAGTATTTGGCAGGATAGGATTATATAAAAAGAAAAATCTTAGATAGGAATTAGAAAACGATCTTTAAATATCTTTCACTCCTCAACCATCGTTGACGCCTTGTCCACCTAAACCAACCACAAAGAGTGGGCAACTTTGACCAGCCTACCCTCATGTTTCAACAACTTTTTCAATACAATTTTCAAACAACGCTTTTCTGACACAAAAATTGCTGAATCCTTTCCTTTTCCGCAGAAATCCCAGATCCCATATTTTCTTTATTCCTGGGGTTTTCTCATCTCTTCTGAGTTTCAGTTCGTTTGTTCGATCCAAGAACAGGACTTTCAGGTTTGGCTTCTCCTTCTTTCTGGGTTCTCATAAAACTGTTCCTATACCTTTTTGTTTTTTTTTTTTATAATTTTATTTTGATCCTTTGCCTCTAATATTGCCATGGTCTGAAAAGTGGTAATGTATGGAAATTGGAATATAAGCATTGAATTCCGAGGTTGAATTTCAATATTCCTACTTTCTGTTTTTGTTATTTTATATTGGACGGGAAAAGTTAATCCTTTGCCTCTAATATTGCCATGGTCTGAACAGTGGTAATGTATGGAATATAAGCATTGAGAATTATGAGGCTGAATTTCAATATTCCTACTTTTGTGTTTGCTTTTTGGGAGATTTTTTGGGACGCTCGTCTACTGATAGGGTAGATTTTTCTAATCGAGATTTGCGTACTTTTTAATTTTTATATGATTTTATACTGACGAATATAAGCGGAAGGTTTTTTTGTTTTTGTTTTTGTTTTTGTTTTTTTACGCATCTATGAGTTTTTATTGCTTTGAATATTCGTGTTGTTTTTCATCTCAGTGTTTGTGCACGAGTGTCGAATCTGGTATCAATCGATCCGTACAGTTTGGGATTATCTTAATTTGTATAAATTTGTTTGTTTTTGTTGTTGAGGTTGGGAACTGCAAGATTTTTTTTTTTTATTTTTTTAATCGGTTTCTTGTTCCATTCTAGCCTATGATTTGGTTAAATTTGTATAAATTTACACATTATATATGTATATATGTATTCTTTTACTTTGTTTGGTCTATTAGATGAGTGTCTCGCTTGATTACCTTCATCAGTGATGAAAATGTCCATCTATTCTAACGCTTTGATGAAATGGGACTTTGATTGTTTACTCTTAATCAACTGTAATGGGGTTTTTTTTTTTAAAATAAAGACGGCAATTGATTCAGCTGAATTAATATTACAATTACACATTTGTAGGAACACCAAGATCGATATAATATATAAAACAGTGAGACCATTGCTTCTATTAAAAAAACAAGGATGATTTCTCCGTGCACTCTTTCCGATGAGCGTGTACTAACAAGGAAGTTGGTTATCTAGTTAACTTGAAGGGTCATGTCGTTCTTTAGATCTTTTATTTTAGTGAAAACCCAAGGTGGGATCTGTATTGAATGTGTTATCATTGAAAGACTCGGAATTTGCATGTACTATCAATTAACTTCCTTGAAAGACTCGGAATTTAATTTTCTTGTATGATCCTGCTAAGATTTATTCTTTATGGACATTAAAAAGTAGCTTTCGTTTAATATCATCAAGTTATGTTTTTGACGTTTTCTTCTATGTGTTCTAGAATTTTTTTTTTTTTTTTTTTTTTTTGGGAGAAATATGAATCTAGGCTCAATATCTATTTTCAGTGCTGGGCAGGGAAAATTATGGCGCCTCCGTCGAACCTCACAAGAATAGGACTTTCCGGTTTGGCTGTCATGGGCCAGAATTTGGCCCTTAACATTGCTGAAAAAGGTTTCCCTATTTCCGTATATAACAGAACTCCCTCCAAAGTCGATGAAACCGTTGAACGAGCCAAACAGGAAGGCAATCTTCCTCTGTTCGGCTTCCATGACCCTGAATCTTTTGTTAACTCAATCCAAAAGCCTCGAGTTATAATCATGCTTGTAAAGGCTGGGGCGCCTGTTGACGAGACGATAAAGACCCTCTCTGCTTACTTGGAGAAAGGAGACTGCATCGTTGACGGTGGTAATGAGTGGTATGAAAACACCGAGAGGAGGGAGAAAGCCATGACTGAATTGGGTCTTCTATACCTTGGAATGGGAGTTTCAGGTGGTGAGGAGGGGGCTCGAAATGGGCCGTCTTTGATGCCTGGAGGATCCAAGGATGCTTACAAACACATAGAAGACATTCTTCATAAGGTGGCAGCTCAAGTTCCGGACAGTGGGCCCTGTGTAACTTACATTGGCAAGGGAGGGTCTGGCAACTTTGTTAAGATGGTTCACAATGGGATTGAATATGGTGATATGCAGCTGATAGCTGAGGCTTATGATGTACTCAAATCAGTTGGAAAGCTGTCGAACGACGAGCTGCAAAGTGTTTTCTCGGAATGGAACAAGGGAGAGCTTCTCAGCTTCTTGATTGAGATCACTGCAGATATTTTCGGCATTAAGGACGATAAGGGGGATGGTTATTTGGTTGACAAGGTTTTGGACAAGACAGGAATGAAGGGTACCGGTAAATGGACCGTACAACAAGCTGCTGAACTATCTGTTGCAGCTCCCACAATTGCAGCTTCTTTGGATTCAAGATTTCTCAGCGGGCTAAAGGAGGAACGCGTTGAAGCTGCTAAAGTATTTAAATCCGGTGGTTTTGGTGATGTCTTGACTGAACAGGAGGTGGACAAGGCAAAATTGATTGACGATGTGAGGCAAGCTCTCTACGCGTCCAAGATTTGTAGTTATGCACAGGGGATGAATCTGATCCGTGCAAAGAGTATTGAAAAGGGATGGGGCATAAAGCTTGGGGACTTGGCAAAGATTTGGAAGGGAGGTTGCATCATCCGCGCCATTTTCCTCGATAGAATTAAGAAGGCATATGATAGGAATGCTGACCTTGCAAACCTTCTTGTGGACCCAGAGTTTGCGAAGGAAATTATTGAGAGGCAGTCTGCCTGGAGAAAAGTCGTGTGTCTTGCTATCAACTCGGGCATTAGCACCCCGGGCATGTCCTCTAGTCTTGCTTATTTCGATACTTACAGAAGGGAAAGGTTGCCGGCTAACTTGGTCCAAGCTCAGCGAGATTATTTTGGTGCCCACACATACGAAAGAACCGACCATGAAGGATCTTTCCACACCGAATGGTTCAAGATTGCTAAGCAGTTGAATAACTAAGTCCCTTTGTTGGTTGGCATTCTGCTGACACCGAATCTTTGTTTCTCGCAATAATTTCTGCTGACTTGATGCGGGCAGATAATCTATCACAAATAAAATATTCGGATTTTCATCAATTATTAGGAGTTTTGTATATTCCCATGTGCTAGTTGTGGTTGTGCTTTGGCAGATTTGTTTCTTATATCTTGTCATTTGCCTTTTGGTTCATTATATATTGATTCGGTTCATAGCCCCATTTTGTTTGGGGCGTTGCACTGTGAAACATAACGTTTGCGGATCAAATTTACGTAAAGTTATGGGGTGTTTTTTGTAACGAAATTCAGAAAAAGTTTGAACTCGAGTTATAATTTTATTCAAGTTCATGTTCTTTTGTAAAATTTGAGTTTGAATTCGAGTTTGGAGCTAAACTCAAGTTAGTTTTTCTTTCAACTCGATTCATAAACTCGAACTCAAGTTAATGAACAATATTTTTTCTATTTTTAAAAATGTCATAATTTTTTCGTTTTAATTCTGATTGAGATGATTTTTTTTTATGCATTCACAATGAAAAGACGAATAAAACTTTACCTATATATCCTATTAAAATTTTTCATCATCATTGAGTTTTTATTAAAATACTATATAAATACAAATTTAAGTTTTGATCAACTCAAATACAAATTCAAAAAGATTTTCAATTCAAATCATAATTTAAATGTGCACATCCAAACACAAACTCAAATTACAACTTCAATTCAAGTTATAACTCAAACTCAATTTAAAATCATCACTAAGTCCTCAACTCAAAAATGCAAAAGAAAAACCCTTTATCAATCAATGTGTCTTACTACAACTCTCACTAGAGTTGATATCTCACTTCTTGATCATATTAGAGAAAGCCTGAACAGACTATAAAATACTCAACACGTTTTCCTTCTCTTCTTATCTTGGTTTGACTTTTAACTACAATGAACCTCTGCCGTTGACAATACTTGCTGTTTCTTTTCTTTTTTTTTTTTGTTTTTTTGTTTTCTCCGAGTGCCGTCCAAAATTCCTTCAGTTGTCATCATATAGGCGTGAGAAATGGAACAATCTTTTGGAGAATCTTAACCTGCCATGCTGTACTGCACTTTAGAGGTTCCAATATAAGACAAGCCTAAAATCTGGCACATTCTTGTGTACTTTCATAGCATATCCTTAGATACACAGAACATAGCTGAATCTTCCTAATAATATTATATTCTAATTGAGATGAATTTCTAAAGCTCCTTTTCTGCATTTTCTGCATTTTCTATGATTTCTCTTTCTGTCTTGTCTTATACAAACGCAGGATAATATATTTTGTTTATGCCTCCCTTTGCGATGGAATACTATTATTCCTTAATCATATGATTTTGTGCTAAATGTGCTATGAGATTCTTAAGAGCTTGAGGTACAACCAATACATGGTATTTGCCTCGCTGTTGACATTCCAAACCTTAATTGAAGATCAGGTTATACATGTCAATAATGTCCGTCACCACAAAATGCCTAATTCCTTATAGTTGGCAATTTGTCTTTCTATGTTGATCTTTCTTCTTTCCAGCACAACAGACACCCTGTTAGTTCATAGCTTATTTTACAGACATCAAACTTGGGTGATTATAATTTGGAAACTTTTTAATGAAAATTATTTATCATCCTTATAACATCATTGTTTTTTTTCCCCCTTTTCTTTTACTTATCATGTCTCTGGTGTATAGATGAATTCTTGAGAATTATATTATTCAAATTAAGATGACTGAAGTTGACCCTGGTTATGACCATTACTCCAGAAGAATGGTGGTTAAATCATCTTCTAGGCCTAACTTGTGCTTGCTTTGTTGGCTCATGTACTAATGGACAACGTGGCTTGTTTTAATCATTCAGAAACGTGGGAAGAGTATCAAAAGATTTAATGTTATGCCAAAAGTAATGAGAAAATCATTTCTTTATTCTTCTGGTTCTTGGCATATTTGTCTGCTGGCATGTCCACATGTTCACTCATCTGACATAGATTTAATTGAAGAACTAACTTTTTTTCAAATAATAAGAATAATTTCATTGAAACTTGTGAAGAATGAAGCTTCAACAATGCTTTTGGTGTGAATGAAAGAAAATCCATCCATTCTCAAAGGAGTAAATCTGAGAAGAACATACACAGAATACATTTGTTCTCACTTGCCTCCTTTGAATATATGACTAAGTAATATGGTATTTTTCTCACAATTGAGCAACATAAATTTCATTTTCTTCTGGGACTCTTTTCTCTATTTCTTCTCTCTTTTTTGCTTGTGTTATTGTGAGAAGAATGCTTCTTCTTGTCATGCTTAAGACGAGAAGCATCTTGACGGTCTTTCCCGCGAGAACGCACGTTGTGATGATGAGCAGGGCCAGACGAAGCATCAGAAGCCATTGAATCATCACTGTTAGTGTCGTCTTCATCATTCTCAGCATATCTGTGATATGCGAGACGCTTCTTCTTGTCGTTATCATCGTCGCTACTGCAGTCTGCATCATCCTCCTGCATGGGGGAGGCAATGTACATGGTCCACCCGGATTCACTGCTGCTACATCCTTCTGTACTCATTGAGAGAGAGAGAGAGAGAGAGAGAGAGAGAGAGAGAGAGAGAGAGAGAGAGAGGAGAGAGAGAAGAGAGAGAGAGAGCAGCTCACTATGACACGAATGTGCCTTAAATTGTGAGATGTCTAGTGATGTTTGAGGGCTCAAAACCTCATGCTAAACAGCATGGCTCTCCAATTTAAAGGAGGAAAAAAGAAAAGAAATGGCATAAAAAACAAAAGGGTTGTTGCTCTCTCCATAAAATGAATCATAAAAGTTGTTTTTCACTTTTTGTCATTGCCAAACTTAAATGAAGAACTGGCTTTTGTGCTGAATACAGATGAGCCTAGTACAGTCCAACTGGAGAAAACTAAAACAATCCCATGTTCTTACATATGTTATATAGCAGAGCAAAAAGGGCCTTTTTCACTCTCCACTAATTATTTCCCACATAATTCTGTGTCTTGCCACTGGCACAAATGGCAGCCCATTCCTTAAAACTGTAACAATATACAAGACCATCTTTAAAAATACAAAAATAATAGAAAATATGCCAATATGAAAAACTTAAAAAAGTATATAGGTCAATTTTTAGTTATAGAAATTAATAGGGCATAACTTGTCAAATTATGGTTCATAACCAGATAAGTTATGGATAAACTTGTCAAGTTATAGTTCATAACCAGACAAGTTATGGACAAAAACCGTTAATAACTTGTCAAGTTATGATTTATAACCAAACAAATTATGGACATAAATAATAATTTGGCCTATTTATTAACTTATGTAAACTATTGGCTTATTAATTTTAATTCATCTCAAGTCTTGACATATTTTTCTCTTTCTCCTTTAAAAATATGTGTAGAATATGTCTTTCTTATCTCATATTCATCTTTCATATCTCTAATGACTAATCCAGTATTTTCTTAGCTTTCGTAGACATAAATTTGCAGAGAAATTGATGTCATTTCTTTGCTTTCTCAAGTCTGTGTATTAAAAAATCTGGCCAATGTCATTTTGTTGTTGGAGGAATGGAGGTAAAAGTCATTAGAAAGAGAACATCATTTGGTTACAATCAAAGTCAAGAGAAATAAAAAAAATAAAGATTTTTATCACTAGTGTCCCCTGAATTATAGAGTCATTCTCAGTTTATCTCTTAAAATTTATAAATTCTCACTTTGTCTCCTGAACTTTGAATTGTTTTCACTTAACCCCTTCTGTTGTAATTTCTGTTAAAAATAGATAAAAAAAATAAAGTCACGTGGTCTTTCTGTTAAAAAAAATAGATAAAAATCACATGACCGCACTTAATCTCTTCTATTTTGGTTTGACATTAGTAGAAATTTTAATAACATGAGTTAAATGAGAACAATTTAAAATTTATGGAGTAAAGTGAGAATTTAACGTTTAAAAGATAAACTGAAAATAATCTTAAAGTTTAGAGACATTGATCAGAATAATCCTAAAAAAAAGTAACTTTTTTATTATGATTGGGTACCTAAAATTAGTCAGGTATACCATTTTCAGAAGAATATACACTAAGGATTAAGATAAATAGAAAATATGATGGGTAAGTATTAAAAAAAAAAAAAAACTCTAAGCTGTAAAGCAGGAGTCAATTTTGTAAAGCATTCAACAGACTCGTTGTGCTTCTTTTTTCTGCTAATAATCATTTCGGAGGTTGCAACTTGTACATCATTTCCAATGTCTCGTCCCACAAAACTTTTATAAATTGAACACGCAGATTTTCAGTTTTATATTAATTCAGGCCAAAACGTGCATGGAATAGATTGATTTCATCAGCAAAACTCTTTTTTTTTTTTTTTTTTTTTTTTTTTTTTTTTTTTTTTTTTTTTTTTTTCCCTTCTAAATTGTGCAAGTCTGCAAGATAATATATAAGGTCCATAACATTCCTTCTTATTTTTAATTTTTTTTTCCTTTTTCTCTCTTCACAAATGTAAATGGAGTAATGGACAATAATTCTGAGACCATGAGAAGGTTGCTAATCTTCAATTTTTTTCCCTAAAAAATAATCAAAGAAAGTGAAATGGAGGAAATAACCTCAATTGCCCACCACATTAGAGTTGTTCCCCACTCAAATCTCCCTTCTCTGACTACCATTATTTCCTTATTTTGTTGCAATATTCTACCAAAACCTTTTGTTTTGTTTTGTTTTGTTTTTATTTTATTTAATCACATAATCTTGACTTTGCTATCCCAACCGGATCTATGTGAAAATTGCATCTGACACGTTATTAGTGATGTTTATTATAATCTTTAGGTTGGAAATGAGCTGTATGAGAATTACTGATTTGATTGTGCGTTAATTACTACAATTATGGAACACACTTATATTACTTTTCATATGTATTTTTCTCCTTTCTTCTTTTAAAAGTGAAAAATCCTTTTATTTATTTAGTTGCAAGTAAAAGAAACACATAATGTATGCCACTTGTCTCTATTTTTTAGTAGGTAACTTTTAAATTTCAAATGAAATTTTCTTTTGAAAAAGCTTTTCTAACTGTGCGACCCACAATTTGGGGCACTGGTGGAGCATGTAAGATGGTAGTTTGATTAGGTAGTTTATTGGTTTGAGGTGAGGACTTATTATGCATACAATGAATCCACATGTACAATAGCCTTCAAATATTAGTCATTGATCAATAGAAACCAAATCCCAACCATCCATTTAAAATCTTCTTTCATCTCACGGAAAAAAAAAATGAAAAAAGCCCTAAATTAAATGCCGTTTA